GGGGGGCTGCAGGTGGAGCGCTCGGGTCCAGCCCACGCTCGCTTCCCGGACATCTACCACGAGTTTGAATCCCTGCAGGCGCAGGTGAGGCAGGCCGCCCAGGACTACATCAGCAGTCCGCAGGGCGGGGCCGCGCCTCTGGAGGTCAGGAACATCGAGGTGAGACCACCCTGCCGCTGAGGTCAGCAGCTTGCGTTTAGAATAGGGATGCAAATTATCAATTAATTCATTAATCGTTAGTTGATTATCTTATCGATCGACTTTCGATTAATTGATAAGCGGCGTTTCTCACCTGAGTTTCAGGGCTTCAATAGGGCCTTAATATAATTGAGGTATTATATTACATTAGCCAACATTATGATACCATAATTATATTGTATTATATTATACATTCCTCAAGTAATTATGCATTAGGAGAAGAAAGCAGACACGTTTTTAAGGTAAAACAAAATCTTTAATTAAAAGAAAAAACTGCTGGACTGAATCAGTCCAGCAGTTTGTTGATGAGCGCTATCATCTCTCCGGCTGATGCTAATGCTAACGGACAGGTGGCTATGCTAGCGAGCTAGCTGGCTAACGCCCCAACGTTCTTGTTTTTGTGGTCGCGGACAGTCGCTATGACAACCTTCTTTGCCTGAATTAACAATATTGAAGTGGTCACACACCGCACTTCTTTTCGCCCGCTTCATTTTGTTTTCGACCCTGGTCTCTCTCGCGACACGAGGCGTGTTCTCGTTCTCGCGCTGTGTTCAAGTTACAGTAAAGCGCTAGCGGTTAATCGTGATTAATACATTTTGATCGAGCAACCTCTTGATCGACAATTAATCTAAAGTCGATTAACCGTTTGCATCCCTAGTTTAGAACACACACCTAAGCAGGTCTCTGGTTTAGGTGGCCCGCTCTCTGGGGATCCTGGATGAGGTGAACAGGATGAAGGTGGTCCCTGGAGCATCGTCCACCTCCAGCGGGCCCAATAAGAACGTGCGGTACATAGGGGTAAGCATATTTAAATCCAAATGTGCCTCTAAGAGAAGTTTCATTTTGGATACTTGTACATCTTCTAGAATACGCCTAGTCATGTTAGTGATGGCACAACATTATTGAACTTAGTTTCCATTTAACTCATTGACTGCCAGCCATTTTCAGAACAGAGAGTCGCTCACTGCCAGAGTTTTTTGAGAATTTTGACTGATTTTTCAAGAGCCACAGAATAGTTTGTGCTATGACTATGTAAACACCGAACACACCAAAAGAAAGAGTAGACTCTCTTCTTTCATCAGGAAAAAAGATTTTGTTTCTACCTTATTCCGTTCTTCTTCGACGTGCGTCTCACCGGCGCCATTTCTCTCATAGCAAACTATTGCGTTTGTTTTTATTTGCTTACAATCTATGCTAATCTCCCATCAAAAGTGGCACAGCTACCTAGAGGGTAAATTTGTTAGTCCATACTCTGTCTAGAAGCCGATATTTACGGGAAAACTTTCGCCGATCGTCCCCCAAACCACTCTCATTGAAAAACATACTTTGGCAGTCAGCGGTTGGATTTGAAAAGACGTCTATAGACGTCTTTGGCAGCGAATGAGTTAACTGGACCAAAAATACAAGAATTGTATGTCTCTAACGGATTGATGAGGGCACTAATTCTTGTCTTGCTGTCATGTTTGGAAAGAATCCCGTCTAAAACGATTTGAAGTGGGTACAGACAGACTCTCAGTTAGAGTAAAGCCTCATTCCCTCAGGAACTCTTTCAGAATTCCAAGATGTTGCCGCCGTCAAAGAGGTTTAAGATGGAGAACATCGTCGCGGTCCAACAGAACGGTGCCGAGTCACCTCAAACAGGTACCCAAACCCAACTGCACGATGTGTGGCATTAGAAATCCACTGATACCAGTTGGTGTATTACTTTGTTGTGACCTAGTTGTGGGTTGAATTGTCTTGTGTTTCGTCCTGAGGTGGTACCTCAGCCACCGCCGTTCCTCTGGAGAACTCCTCTCTCAAATCCTGCTCGGTGTCCGTCTCCCCTCTGGTGATTCCCGAAGGACCCAAACCGAGCGCCTCCGGGGACTCCGCCTCCAGGTGAGCAGACCCCGCCCCACGTCCGGGCCACCCTGACCTCAAACGGTTCGGCGTTAGCGCTGTTGAAGTCTGATTGTGGTTCTCGTTGTGCTGCAGCTCCTGTGGCTCCACGCTGGCCAAGACCGGCCAAGCTCCGCCCCCTCCGGTCCCCATGGAAGTAGGTCCCGTCCCAGACCAGACCCCGATCGCCACCGACGTCTCAGTCCAGATGACGGACCTGCAGGACGTTCTAAGTTCGGGTGCCGAGAGCAGCGCGGACACAAAGGCGCCCGAGTCCAGCCCGGTCCAGACCCCCGCCCCCCCTCAGTCCCAGCAGAGAGACCCGTCGCAGTCGGAGTCCGGCGCGTCGCAAACGCACGAGGCCAAGGACCTGCAGGAAGGCCAGGAGATTTACATCGAGACCGAGGGCTTGACCGTCCAGCTGGCGGAGCAGGGCTCGGACGGGATCGTCATCGTCAACGGACCGGACGGGACCACCATGCACATCCAGACCCCCGACGGGGTCCCCCTGGAGGCGGTCCAGGCCCTGCTGGGCATCGAGGCGTCAGACGGAACCAAAGCCCCCAAATAAAGCTCCTACGAACTCTGGACAGATCAGCACTATGCAGAACCCCAACTCGATCTGAAGAACACCGCACAGATGGAGACCGCTGGAATGGAGGGGTGTTTGAGACATTTTCATACAAACACAAACTGCTAAATGTCCGTTAACACGAACACGTGAACACCTGCCAGTTCGGATGGAGCTCCAGAATAGAAGTCGGCCTCGAACAGGGAAAGCAGTTCCTCCTGCCCCGCTGCTGGACCTGGGATTGTCAGACTCGTTTTATCGTTCCGGTTTGCACTAAAGTTCCTGTTACAAAAAACAAAAACAAACAAAAAAAAGCTCTCCGACCAGGACTTCGGAGTTGTGTTCAAAGGGCCTGAGCGAGGCTGTAGCTCCCGGGTCTCCGTGTGTCCTCGCGTCATGTTCTAGACCTATTTAACGTGGTGTTGCTGGTATTTACGAGCCCAAACTGAGAAGAAGGACTCTTCTGCTCAAAAGTCAGCGAACCCCCGATCCACACATAAGCTGATCGGCAACCTGGTCCATAAACAATCACCCGCGATAACCCGTTGGACATTCAGACGTGAGCACCATTCTGACAATCAGCCCGTGGCGTCTTTGGTAGTCGTATGTAGTGTCCCTTCGGGGCTCCCGTACTCCACTCTGCTGAACAGGAAAGTCTTCGCCAGTTTGATCGGCTTTAAGGCCTCCAGCAGGTCTCCCGCCGGTTTTTAACGGATTATGCTCGTCGTTGTACATTTGTAAACTTGTTTTCCCCCCGTTTCCAGATTTGGACTTCTTCATTTGAAACTAGAAGGTATTTGGTTGAATGTTTATATGTAGATAAATATGAAGAACAAAGTTTAAAAGAGTTTCAATATTTTACTACTTTTTATAAAGCTTCAAAGTTTTTTTGAACTAAACCTGAAGGTTCTGGAGTCAATGTGAGTACGGACTTAGAACAGTTTGGAGGAACTTGTTTGTTCTTTTGATGGTTCAAGTTGAGAATGCATTAAATGTGTCACATTCGACTCAGTTTGATGGTTCCGGTCATCGGCTACCAAGCGGAGGTCTTATTTATAGACGCACTAAACGGGGCCTAGATTTAAAAAAAACGCAGATATGAGGCGGGAACTGAAGACTGAACTGACGCATGGTGATTCCTCCCAGACATTTAACTTCACTCCATATCAAACTTTCATAGTAGACTTTACCATAAGCATTCAAAATAGCTATCTATGCTAGCGCCGGTGAGCCACAACCATACAAAATGCTCTCTCAAATAAATAAAAATTCAATTCAATTCAATTTTATGTATATAGCACAACAACAACAGTTGTCTTTCCAAAAAGAGCAGGTCAGAGTTAATTACAATTCCCACCATGAGCAAGCACTAGGCGACGCAGGCGAGGAAAAACTTCCTTTTAACAGGCAGAAACCTGGAGCAGAACCATGGCTCAGGGTGGGCGGCCATCTGCCTCGGCCGGTTGGGGGTGAGGGAATAGGCCCATATCAGAGCTCAAATCTGAAATCAAAGCATTCTCCCCATCAGATTCCTCTCTGATGGTCAGCAGGGTGACGTGGACCACAGATCAAACTGTGATAAAGTATGAGGCATCAGACTGACCGCTGTAAACAACACCGTGGTGACACTTGTGTGATGGATGCGTCGGCTCTGCTGGAAGAGCCTACAAATAAGGGAACAACAAGATTTCCTCGTGATGATGACTGGAAACTGGCTCTTACCAGTATGAATTAGCCCAGACGCAGCCTATAATCAACAATGAATCAATTCTCTGCCTAAAACCACCTTAGGAACGACACAATTCAATGAAATCATCCATAGATCTGGATGTCAAAGCCATCCTTAAGCACAATCCTGCCTATGGATGATTTCACAATAATTGTTGGTGTTTTTTGTTTGGGCTAATTTGTGGTGGTAAGAACCAGTTGGCAGTTCTCCATCTCACCATGTGCATCACCGGTTTCTCCTTTCTCCAAAAGGAGTGTAGACATAGGTCAGTTTGTGTGGACCATACAATTTCCCATCAAGTGTTTCTTTATAGATCACAAATAGTGTCGCACGCAAGTTATAGGCCCCGTTTTGTGTTTATGCAACCTTTATAAATAAGACCCCTGGTATCAATTCCTACTGGAAATGTATTCCATCAGACTATCGGCTCATCTGTACAATATGTACAGTACGATATTTCGAAAACCATAGTGTGTTTAGACCCCAGGATTAAAGAACAAAAACTAGTACAATAAAGCTGAACGTTTTACGTAAAAGGATTTATTTCAAGTCAACTAGTGTAAAAAAAAAAGAACCCATCGATTTCAGGTGCTGGTAATGAAACCAGACATGTTCGGTCACTTTTCTTGGTGATACCTGGACATCATAACGGGCGGTGCCCGGTCTCCATCAGCAGGGCTTCCAGGGTCAGTCTGGTCTTGGGGGGGACGTAGGGCTGGTGGAGCCAGGAGGACAGGTAGACCAGGGACAGGTCAGGGCTGGTGGTGTGGGCCACTTCCTGCCCGATCGTCTGCTTCAGCTTCAGCTCCTGACCGAAGGCGGCCAACAGGACACGGGCAGACTCCACTGGAAAGACACATAGTGCTTAGTACTACATCACCATGCTAACTTCCTGAACTCATACCCTCCTCCAGATGTTTAGTATTTCTTAAATGAGCTATGAAAGTGCCGACTACAGGTATTTTACGGTTAGTTTAGTAAAGTCTATAGAGGGTATTGCCCCCAACACCGTTCTGATATGGGTAGGAGTACATAGAGACCCCAGAATCTAAAGGACCTGCTGTATCAAGTTGGTCCTTGGTCATCTGGACTGAAGGGGGGTCAGCTGCCATGCTATATGTCCCAATGCTGAATTGGTCTGTCAAAAAAAATGCTGACCAGGCTATTGTGTCCTCTGGTGAGAATGTGAGGGCCTAAGGATTCGAGAGAAGATGAGCTTGCTAAACATTCCGAAGAGCTGGTCGCCTTGGGGTGGAGGATTTAACGAGATGCTGAAGGTTCTGGACGTTGAAGATGTTTCTGGATGTCTGAAAGCCTTGGCATCGGCTTTTTCCAGGTCTCTGGTCATCCACGGTTTGTTACGGTCAACACACAAGTTGAAGAAATCCTGGCACACGTGGCGTTTTTATTAGCATCATCTCCACGTGGCTCACAAAGTGCTTTCAGATCTTTGGACCCAAAAGTGTTTTCGGTGCAGCTTAAGAATAGGTGGATATTTAAAATCTTTTTATTTCTTATTGGTTATTGGTTATTTTTTCTTTGGTTTTGGACCCTTGGCTGGGACTTTGAAAGTTCCATCCCTGGTCCCATTTGTAGATAATTCATGAAAAGGCTTTTTGGAGACTCAAACACATGGAAGGAGGTCAGGTCTGCCCAGAAATAAACATTTTGTCCATAAAAAAACCAAAAGAAATGGCACAAATTAAACAGACTTGGGACAGCATCCAGGGAAAACTGATGGTGTGGTGGATTGTAAATATTCGTCATTGGTAGAACTAGAAAATTTTGATTTTGAAAGACTATGGATTGTTTTAATTATACGGAAATTCTACTATGACAGTATGAAAACAATTTTAAAAAATAATAATTACCGTCCATTTTTCAAAAATCCTAATTTCCCCCAAAATACTAATTTCCCCAAAAGTTTAGTTATCCAAAAAATATTATATATGGTTTATTCTTAATACATAATTTACCAATTTGGGGTTTTGAGGTTTAATCCGTGTAATTTAAGTTTTTCTGAGACCATGGTTATAGTCTGCGGAAATTTCGGAATAAATGTATCCTCAAAGAGGGACAAAACAAGATCCAGTACGTATCCCATCAACAAAAGGATATGGGACCATAATAAAAGGTAAATATATTCAGTCAAATTGTCTTGTCGAAACTTTAAATGATATTGGAATGCAGTATAAAAAAAATAGCCTTCATCGTTCCAATTTTAGGTCCAACCTGGTTGACACTGACATAGGAAGTGATATTGAACCCAACACTGGTTTTTATCAGACATACACAACCAGGAAGGGGGGGAATCTTTAATTTTCTATCTGAGGCTACGTCCACACTGCAGACTAAAGTGACCCAAATACGATTTTTGGTGAAATCCACATTTTTTTCGCGTATCTATGCAGCTCGTATGATATCCAGTGTGAACTGTAGGCAAACCTAAGACTTCTTTTGTGTATTAAGTCTCCTTAGATCTGGTCCGGGGGGCTCTTTATTTTTTCTTTGGCATTGGAGCCAAGAACATTTATACCCAGGCTTGGTCATCTCTTGGGGAGTATTCAAATAAGAATTGCCCAGTTCCCGTACAACCCCTTGAGTTTGGCCTGGATAGACTTATCCCACCCCCCACCCAAAAAGTAAACAAGTCAGAAACCTGGCTTTTTTCTCTGACTTTTCTCCGCATTATCGGGTTTTCTTTGGCGTTGCAGCACACTGTACAGACACGAATCACTTTAGAAAAGATCGGATACACATGAGATTTAGAAAGCACATATCCAAGTAGCCTTGGTCGCATTTTTTTTAAAAAACAGAAAAGAATCCGACCCTGTGTTGTTCAGACTGTCATGAAAAGAGGTCAAAGGTCCTAAAGGTCCAGTTTGGGTCACTTCAGGCTGCAGTGTGAACACAAACCTTGTTGTTTATTCAGGTCAAATGAAAAACGGACGGGTGTTTCCAGCTTCTAGTCATCGCACCAGAGGGAATTCGTTCAGAAATGAGGATCCTGTTGACGGACTGACCGAATTCTGCAGTGGTCCAGCTGTGACAGAGGGGGGACTTTCTCCCCCCGGGACCGAACTGGAACTCCTCCAGCTGCTGAATGCCCCGCTGTGACGAAAACAGACGCTCCATCTTGGACACGATGGCGGCCTGGACAGAGGAGAGCGAGGAAACCTGAACGGGAATTCTTCAAATACCTCAAAACTGATCAGTGTGTATTAGGGATGGGAATCTTCACCACCAAGGCGATACGATACACATCTCGATACACAGCCAACGATTCGATACATTCACGATTCATGGAATTTCTAGTGATAAGATTCGATACGATTCTCCAACCTCCTGCGATCCGGTGCGATACAGAACGATCTAAATTTAAAATGCTGCGATACAGTGCGATACGATACGATACGATACGATACAATACGATGCGATGCAGAAGAAAAGTACACGATGGACTACATAGTTCAAGTTATGGCACGCAAGCTAACTGTGCCTTTTATTTTGAAACAAAGGAAGTGCAACTTAGAGAGTGATTGTCTCTCTGAAACTTTACAAGAAACGCAACTAAAACTCAAAGACACGTTTCTAAAAAGTTATAATAATAGAAGATAATAATCGGTTTGTATCGATGCAGGTAGTTTTATACGATGCATCTCGAGTTTATGTGCGGTTTTTTACCGATGCAGACGTTTGCAAATCGATGCAACCGTATCGCACAGGTCGTTCCGATGTTCCGATACGCATCGGTGAATCTTGCCATGCCTAGTGTGTATCCCTATTGTGGTTCTGATGTATCCATATCCAAATCAGGAGTGAGATCGGTGATCCGTTCTGCATTAAAGCCGATTTCAGATGATTAGGGATGGAGGAAGAGGGTTTTTTTGTTGAGTCACACTATTCAATTGACTAAGTCGATGTTTCCCACAACTACATTCAGTTGCGTAAATCAGAAACTAATCACAAAATGATCTGATTTGACTTAAGCTTCAGTGGAATGGAATGTTAGAGCATCTTGATCTTAGATGTCTCACCTGACGGTTTACCTGACTTCAGCCAATTGAGAAAATATTTGTGAGAATAAATGTAAAAAGTACAGGTCACAAGCTAGGCGCACAAGACGATAACCTCTTCTATGATTAATCTGAAAATGAGGCGTGGAAGAAGACTTTTTTTTCAAATAAATACATTTGTGTGAATACTTTTGAATATATTGAAAAGGAGTTTTTAATTTTTTTTTTTACGAAATTAATATTTAAAAATCTTTACTGTTTGGGGAAATAAACGCTAACTGTGTTACATTTTTAATCTGGCTACACTTTGGGAATCCCTGGTCTAGGAGTAGAATGAGTGTGTGTTTTATAGAGCTGACTGTTTTTTGGGAAAACTTAACAGAAGAAGCAATGGACAGAAAAAGCTCAGGCATGTAGAGTTAGGGGCTGAAGATGGATGGAGAGTTCTGATTTGTCCAGAGGAAGTAGGATGTAGAGGACCTGCTGCGTTGTTTTAGAGGGAGTTGGGATTAAGTTGACAGAGTGTGAGGAAAATAATGACAGCCAGTGAGGCAAACGGTTTAAACCGAGTCAGTTCAATATCCATGACCACCGGAAAAAAAAGCATCTTCTCAAATGCTCGTATCTTTCTTATCGGAGAGATTAACGTCAGCTTTGAACAATGTGGAATCTGAAAACACAGGGAGAGGACGTGGGGAGTGTCTGGTGAACTTTTACTGTGGTGTAAAGCTGCCAACGGATCCCCAAAGGCAATTGGGCCAGAAAAAAATCAGGATAGGATCAATCAGGAAGGCCTGTGTTGTAGAAGCTGCTGTAAAACTCGTTACTCATTTTGAACGAGCGGACATTTTTTAAAACCCAAGTCCTTGAGGAGATCTATGCTCAGTTTCAGGACTTGCCGGATCACCGTCAACAGGTGTGGATGCTCACAAGAGGGAGAAACTCATCTTTCACACACACACACACACTTTGTGCCATGGTCTGTATACCTTGAATATTTGGAGTTTTTGCTTCTAAATCTAAATGAAGCATTACCATTTTGTCGATGACTTGTTGCAGCTTGCAGCATTCCTCCTGCAGCTCTGAAGTTTGCTGCCATGCGGCCGACGGTAAAGATGGAGACTGGGAAGGTGAAGACGTTACCTCCAGCAGCTGATCACTTTGAACACTGAAAAAGAGAGAAAAAAAACCCGATTAGGAACATCTGAATGGTTTACCATGTCTTAGACCAGGGGTGTCAAACTCTGGCCCGAGGGCCAGATTTGGCCCGCGTTGTAATTATATTTGGCCCGCGAGACAATACCAAATGATTTCATTTCATTTAATTTTTCATTTAATTTATTTTGAAACATGATATGATTTAACAATGTTTACATAGAATGCTTCATAAACATGCATCATGTTTCAAAAAGGAGTAGGATGAAGCATACGCTTTATACTGTACAGTGCATTAACCGCTCATACTACAACTCCCATAATGCTCTGCTGTTGTTCAGGACAGGACCCAGAAACTCCTCTGGGACAGTAGATACACACTACAGCTGTCACTGTGCTACTTCCCAAAAATGACCAAAAGAAAGGCAGGAAAAGGAGCTTTCTGCACAAGCAAATTTCATTTTGATATTTAATTCAGAAGAATGCGAATAGAAAAATGTTTTTAAATTTTCTTTCATAAATGAATGCCATTGATGTGTTTTTTATTTGAAATTGGATTTTGCATGTCTCCACTATTAAGTTATATATAATGTAATGAGAGTTGCTTGTTCCATATTCAATGTTAAAGCAAAATTTGTTTTATTCCACATTAAAAGGTTCATTTGTTGAATCTTGGCCCGCGGCTTTGTTCAGGTTTGAGATTTTGGCCCTCTGTGTTTTGGAGTTTGACACCCCTGTCTTAGACTGATTGCATGTCCACACTTCCCTATGCAAACAGAGAAGTCTGCTCACTCACATCATTAAAAAACTACATGGATTTAACTTTACTAATGTGGACATTGAGCAACCATCTGTCCATGTTATTCTAGGGATAAACCCATCCATCCATTTTCCTAACAAAAGCTCTTGGGGAGCCTGAACACTTGATAACCAGACCATGGTGTGGTTTTCCATTCTAACTTCTGTGATGTTGAATGTGGATTCTCTGCATTTCTGTTGTCCCTGAAGATGTAACGACACAAACTAACAAACTAACAAGCGACGACAAACGCACCGCCTCATGTTGACAATCTTTGTCGCGATGCCGAAGCCGTCCTCGTTCAGTTTGTCCCACCGGACCATCAGGTTGTGCCAGTCAGCCGCGTTGTCTCTGAGTTTTCTAGCGCTCCCTGCAAACATACATGTTCCAAATCACAACAAATGTCGCCTCTCAGCACTTTAAAGATACAAGAAATTCAAGCTACCGTAACCCAGTCAGTTGCTATCAAATGTGAAGCCCTCCCAGTTAGAAAATGTTACCCAGCTTATCTAAGAAAAAAATAACTGCTTTAAAACTGTGTAATTGAAGCTGCACACCATTTAAACGGCGTTCACACAGTCTACACAATGGACTTGCTGACATCTTGTTGTTATTGTTGCTATAACAGAACAGATATTTTGGTTGGTGGTAAGAAGAACATCCTTTTCTTGCCAGGGAAGTGAAAATTAATATTGGATATATTTAAACATTATGATACATTGCAAAATATAAAAAGTATTGTTATTTTTGTTTTATTCAATGTCGTATTTATTTGTAAATTTGCCGTGCTTGAAACTTTTCCTCTGGAAGGACAGTGGTCACTCCAAATGATGGCTCATTTAGTTTTAGCCGCTGCGGTCAGCGGGAAACCGGTTCGGCAACGCTCGGCTCTTTCCGGCTCCCGCTACTGTGGAGCGCGGGAAGTCTCCCTCGTAACAAACTAACCCGTTAACTAGTTAACTAGTCGGTTAACGGAATGAGTGGTCGGGTCCGTACGGGAACGCTTACCCTCCATCTGCTAGGGGAACATTCATAGAACCGGTGTTTTTCTCTTCTTCCTGCTTCTTCTTCCTGTTTCTTCTTCTTCTACGCTTCCTCCCGTCGTCGTTCGGTGGCGCCCTCTGCCGACCGGAAGTGTCTCTGTGGAGCTTTCGGCCCCGCAGCCATTTTTTTTCTTCCGGAAGATTGGTTTATTAACTTTCCTGCTAGCTAAAAAGCAGTCTGAAAAACAGGAACATGGCTTTATAAAATACAGAAGATAGTAGGAGAAAAAAGAAATGAAAGAAGAAATAGAAAGGAGGGAAGGGTGATAACAAGATTAAGATTAGGGCATACAGGTCTTAATTATACACTTTTTAAAATACAAAAGCATAATAATGGAAAATGTGATTATTGTGACAGATATGAAACGATAGAACATGTTATGTTAGAATGCCATAAGTATGAAAGAGAAAGAAGGTGTATGAAAGGAGAGTTTGAATGTATTCAGGAAAAGATTAATTTGATAGATATTTTGAGGAAGAATTCGGGGAGTAAACATATACAAATGATTATGGGATATTTAAAGAAAACTAAGTTATTTCAAAGAATATGATTAAAATAGGTGTGTGTGTGAATGGGTGCATGATCTAGGGGGGTGGATTATAAAGATATATATACAAATGGATGAGAGTATGTAGGTATACATAAATAGCAAATTAATTTAGTTAAATTATATATTAAAGGTAGGAGTAGGAAGATACAAATACTTATATAAGTTGATAGTCCTTTTCGAACCACACTCCATACTAGTAGGTGGCGGTAATGCTGCTTAAAGTTTGTTGCCAACCGCCAACAAAATCAAGAAGAAGAATAAGCAGTCTGTTTAATGTTTTCAACCGTCCACATGAACGTGACACTGATGGGGCAGTTTCCTTTCTAACACTATGCTGAAAGCTCAGTATTTCGAGATGCAAATGTGTCTGTGAGGTTATCATCCTACATGGCTGAATGTGGAATTTATTAACAATGCACATTACGTCTCTCACCAGAGCGAAACATTGTGTTCTAGTTCATTTTATCCATGACACCTCCATCTTATTGCTTCAACATTCAGGAATAGTTTCTGCCAAACGTGGTATTAAAACTACTAACCATTTGATTCATATCATAAGTATTACTGTTCTTATCTACAATATAAACAAGATATGAATTACTTTAACATCATTTTTCATTACAGCATTTTGTCCATTCCAAACCCTTTTAGTACGGATGGATGGATAGTACAAGAACAAATGATAACGTGTTAGCGCACAAATCTGTAATTTAGTCAGGTCACCAATAAAATCCATAAGTGCTGGGCTCTGAGTTGAAAAGTTCTTGAGGAAACTTGGTCACAAAGTGCAATCTTCTCAGGCAGGAAGTGATCCATAGTTGATCCATAGTTGAGAAAAAGGGGCAGATATTATAAGATTATTTTCTTCTTTCTGCTTCCTTTCATTTCATTTTTTTAAATTATTTTTTCTTTGTATTGAATGAAATGAATAATTTTTCTTTGTATTGAATGAAATGAATAAATAAATAAATTAAAACTGGCAATCTACCTCTGACATCAAGAATCCAACAACTGTATAGCTAGCTAGCTAGCTAGCTAGCTAGCTAGATAGATAGATAGATAGATAGATAGATAGATAGATAGATAGATAGATAGATAGATAGATAGATAGATAGATAGATAGATAGAAAAACAACATAATGGCCAATTGGAACAGCTCAGCGAGCATTCAGAAAATAACCAAAACCACACACCAACATGCTACATGCTAACATAGCACATGTTTCCACCAACAGCACCCCCCCCCATCCCATCTCTCCAGAGGTGTAACAGAACCAGCATCCCCCCTCCCCACCACCGCAGACCTACTATCTTCATAAAAACAGCGACATGTCGTCAAACATTATCCATAACGACCTCCTGGTTGATTGGGAAATGAAGGCCATGGCGGCATACAAACAAAAAACATCGCTCTTAGCTATGGTCTTTTTCTGGTGCCTGAGGTTAAAGCATGTGGTACAAAGGAACATGTGCTTGGACAATGGACCATGCAGTGAGAAGCTCAACTGGTCAACATGATGGAACTTCCAATGGTGCTCAGTTGGAGGCGGATGACCCCCTGAGAGGCCTACGGGGAGGTGTGGGCAGGGTGTAGCTGGGTCCTCCTGGAGGGGCTTGTGAGTGAGTGATTGGCTGCAGCTGTGCAGCTCCCATGCTGCAGAATCAGGTCCCGGAAGATCCAAGACCAGGCTCTGTGGTTGTGGACCTATGGAGGAGTCGGCATTGGAGCGTTACTTTGACGATTCCATAGCAAATGTGAGTACTCTGAAACTTGCGTCGTGTCCAGAGTTTGAAGATTGAGGTGGGAAGTCTACGTGCGATGCATGGGGAAGTTCTTTAACGTTTTATTTTCAACATCCATTTTTAAACGTGTTCAATACAAGTGGAATAGAGCTTTTGCTTTTTCTTCTTCATGTATGGAAAACGTAAAGATTTCAATTAAAGTGGCGTCAATCTGAACTTCCTGTTGGCGTGTTGTCCAAGTCTGGAGGTGGTTTATCAAGTTACTTCTCTGATTCTGATGCTAAAGTCATTTTCATTCAGTGAACGCTGATTTAATATGACCTACTCGGCTGCTTAACGGGAAATGATTACTTATTTAATCAACAAAGCGACTGCTTTCCAGAGTCTGAACCCGGATTCAGATTCTGGCAGTCTTTTGATGATGAGTGGTCAAAGAATGAACAATTAAAGCCACGCGAAGGTCTCCAAACATCAGTTGGTCCATTTGTCCACCTGCAGGACCCTAGCTACTTGTTGGACGAGCTTGACCCTACGAATCCTGCCCAACATGCGCTTGCTCTGGACCCCGGTGAGCAGCATGCGTCCTTCCAGCGGGCAAAGCCTGGTGATGATCTGGACCTCAGCTTCCTGCAAGATGACCTCAGCACTCCGGATGACCACACGGGCCCTGACTCTGAGGCAGGTAATTAAGTATTGAAAAGGTCTTCGATCTTAATCTGTTAGCTAAAGAATCAGCAAGTGTCTTTTTGAATGAATAAAGTTTTAAAAAAACACGGTGACCCATTAAGACCTGAGGCTTTGTTGAAAGGTTTTTCTCTCATTTGAAGGTTTTTTTCTTAAATAATCTTGACTAAACCTAATTTCCCAGCTGCAGAAGAAACTAGAAACCTGAAATAAAACATTTGAGTTAATGTGCAGCCTTTTTCTTGTGAATTATTACGTGTTTCATTATGTCTAAAAGCGTCACTGTTGATGCTGCACATCAGGACTGAAACGTCAAGTGAAGATTTTAGGTTTAACTATGTTTTACATTGCCCACCGTTGGGTTACCTCTATTGAAAGAAAACAAAGCACACTGCATGCATATGAACAGGTCAGGAACACCTGCAAAAACAAAGAAAACGCACAACAAACTGCAGCAACATCATCGGCAAATGTTAGCCTGAGTTCAAGACCCACAACCTCAAAGAAAGACGCACATTAGACCCAGCAGCCTTGTGTAGAAAAATGCTGCATATGCAGAGAAACGTGGCGAATCAAGAATGAAATGAATGTGGAAATGACTGGTGCCTCACAATGTAGCATCTTGCTACAGTTGTTGATCCATTGGCGACACTTGGAGGTGAAGCTGGAGACTATTATGGTAGATGTGAACACAGTTAGCCCTCTCTGAGTAACGTGGACGATAACCGCACCCGTGTTTCTGCAGTTCCATGGGTGGATATAAAAATGCAAAAAAAAAAGAAGCATTTTTTAAAAATTGGCTGCTTTAGCAATGGTAGAAGACATTGCAAATGTAAAAAATATGAGTATCTGTGCCCATCCAGGTGCTGACCACACTGGGGTTCTAATCTAAAAGGGTGCATTGGGCATGAGAACAAATAAATATATATACATATATATTCTAAAGGTTCACTATCAGAAAAAGAAAATGTTTCAATTCAGCTAATTCCAGTAAAGTCAAATGGGGCGGGCAGTGTGCGTATCCCCTTTATTTTTTCTTTGCTAACACATCACCTTGTGGTCAGGAACTGTCCATGCTTGAAGAAGGCCAAGGGGATCTAAAGCAAATTAAGTCTAGTCACCCGCACTGCTCTAAATAACTTTTATTTAGAAAAAAATAATTCCACCGATAGTGTGAATATCAGTTAGTTTGTAAAGATACAGTCCTGGAATTGTTTGCCATTCCATAATTTTTGACAGGCTTATCCTATAAATTGACTCTCTTCCATACAAATAAATTCATTGGTCTTGTTATATGACCCTTTAAAAGGGAATATAGGAAACACGGCACAGACACAATGAGTCCTCATTTAAGTCCAATGTTGTCATAGTCATAAAAAATAAATATGTCCAAGAAATATCATAATTTAGCATGTTTAGCACAAATGCTTTTGTTTGTATGTACATGTTTATTATAGAAAATAAGCTAAGGCCATTGAGTTTCAGGTAGAAAAAAAGTACACACGTTCCGTTTTTCTTCTTGTAAAAATTCTAAACGGGTCAATTTGACCCGACAACATTTGATCCATACATTTGACAAAACAGATTATTTAAAAAAAAAGATTTAGCTTCTGAACCATGTATAGAATTGTGTATGTATCCCATACACAAGCTACAAGAGGCATTAGCCATTTTGAACAGATCCCCCCATTGCAAACTGGTACTTGGGTATCTTTGAACTTATATCAACCAATTTCAATGTAATCAGTGTTGCCTCTTTTTTTTTATCATCCTCAGTTACTTTTATCATTTTAGAGCTGGTAAATATACAAATTACACTTTTCCACCATTCAATTTATTTGGTTCCAACAATATGTAGCTTGCTAAAATTACAGATCATCTTATTTGTACTACCATGTTTGAATATGACTCAAAATGTGGGGACATTTATGTGACTTTTAAGTGTATTTTTTGGAAAATTCAATAAACACAATACATTCTTTTTGGAAGAATTACAGATCATCATGCAGGATGACATGGATTGTGTCAGAAAGACCTGGTTTGCAGCCACAGGGCTACAATTGATTTTCAGTTGAATTGAAAATTTAAAAATAAAAGATTGCAAAAGGCAGGTCATTGTCCAGTTCAGTAGAAGAAAGTAAAAATGGACAAAACATGAACAAACAGTTTCTCAAGAGATGGAGTCATCTCCTTTTTAGATGAATTTATGAAATTCTGTTACTCTTGAAGGTTGAGATTGAAGACAATTTTTCAATCAGTGTGATGGTCTGTGAGCCGGATATTTGAGAATTCTGGAGGAAAAATAAGAGATGCATAGTGTGAGATTCATGTTAGACTCTTCTGGATTGTATCACTTTGATATTCTTATTCTGTCTGAACAGGATTGTAAAGTTTCGCAAAATTGCCAAAAGCGCTACGGGAACTCTACAGACCGATGATTAGAGAAGTTTGATCATTTGTCCTGACACTTTCGGGCTACTTGTCCACACCCTTGGCCGGTCGGCCTAATATATGCTTCGTCTACATCGAAAGAGATAATTGTGGTTTCCAAATTATCTCTGATAGGGTAGTTTATGATATTAAATGGAGAGAAATGGCTCTGGAAGAGTCCACAATGCTCTTTCCTGAGCGTTCAGTGTTTTTCTGTGAATTTAATGTATAGTTTTTATCACTTTCAACTTAATTTCTTATTCAAACTGTCTGAAAACTGAGTTAATTTGAACTTTAAACTTAGCTCTTTGTATCTACCAAACACGGTGTCATTGGGCAACACCGACTTTCAACTCCCTCCACAAATGTTCTACGGGGTTCAGCTCTGGAGACTGGCCGGGCCAGTCCAGGAACATGAAAAAGCTCCTTATAGAGTCTCTCCTTTGTTGCCTGAGCGGTGCGTTTTGGGACCAGTGTCATGCTGGAAGACCTAGCCAAATTCAATCTTCAATGTTCTCCCTGATGGGAGCAGATTCTGGTTTAAAATCTCACCAAACAGGGCATTGTAAATTCTTTTTTTTTTTAAAACAACGTTGTAATTTCATGGACTTTCTTTCTCATTTGGCCTATTATAGTCGAAGTGTACCTCCAATGAGAATTACAGACGTCTCGTCTTTCTAAGTAGGAGAATGTGGACAATCGGTGGTTGACCGATTGATTTTTTTAATGCATCGTGCTTTATTTCCAGCCGTGGCCGCAGAAAGTGAGGCGGCCGCCCTCAATGTGTCGCAGGACAGCGGCGTCTGTGCGGACTTCACGTGTCCGGAGGCGGCTGCGGCCGAGCCTGACCACGGCGTGGCGGCCCTGAGGCCCGGGGTGTCCCCCTTCTGCCCCATGACCCCCATGACGCCCATGACACCAATGACGCCGGTCACTGAGAGATCAGGAATCATCCCACAGCTGCAGTAAGTTTAAATGGTCCCAGATACAAAATCCTGATCCTTTCATTCTTCTGACGAAATCAAAATGATACAATTGAAATGTATTGATGTTTCGTATTGAGTTTCGTCGCAAAAAAGTCAGTGCAATATATATATGTGTATAAATATAATTCTTTGCGCTTAGTTATAGAATAGAATACAATACATATTTATTTTGCATGGTATAAGGTCTTGGCTGTTACACTGGTAGCCAAGTAATTGACATTTCGTTGTCAAATTCACCTCGTGTTTTTGTGCAATGACAATAAAAGAAGTCTAAGTTTAATAGTCACTTGAATATGAATGAGTAAAAATAATCACTTGTCTATTTGTAAGAAACATTTTGGGGTAAAAGGGGTAGAAACCACCATGACATTGGGCCAGAGAAACATGCGGAGAAAGAGAAACCCAAATTAATTACAACAATAACGTCACATGAATATGAAGAGGAGAGGTGCATCATGGGAGCCCCCACAGGAGTCCGGTCACTAAGCGATTTCTATCAAATTTATCAAAAAGGAGAGTTTGAAACCTGATCGTAAAGGTAGAGGGGGGTCTTCTTCCTGAACCCAGACTGGTTCCAGAGACCCATGTCTTGTTCTGTGTTTACACCACACAAGTCTGGTTTTAGGGTACACGTACAACTCAAAGATGATGTTGTAGTACAGAACGCATACAAGGCTATTCCCTGACATCTATTTCAGGAGGTCGACGTAAATTCCCAGCTTTGTTCATCCGAAGCTGGATTCAGAATTCCTGATCTTTGTAATAGTCATGTCTGAAAGAAAGATGGAGGTTGTTGTGCGTTTGTGGACCACAGACTTATGGGCATCCATGCCCCAGGACATAGTCCATCCTGGTGATACCACGATGGTTGCTAATTCCTGGTTTACAGTGCTACAGCGGGAAAATGCATATTTCCAGGATTTAGTGATGCATCATGGGATGTTTCTGTGGAGCTGGGAGCTATCTCTGAACATTTGTTTAGTCTCTGAGGCCTCATTAGAGTGGTCTGCCACGGCCACCAGACCTGACACACAGCTGTGGTTATTTCCAGCGGCAACACACTCTGAAAGTCACAGAAATGGCCACAGTTGAGGTTGAGAATCAAATGAGAACCAAACAAACGCTTTCACACTCACGGAACTCTTATTGGGAATGGTACATTTTGTGGACTTTTGTTTCCACCTCATGTCAGGTTTGCTTTGCTGTACAAAATGTTTAGTGTGCATTAGGCCTTGCTTCCACTAGCAACATCAAATACATCAGAAATGTTTGTTTCAAGCCAATTGTAATTTAAATTAAAAAATATAACTTTATTAACTCATTGACTGCCAGCCATTTTCAGAACAGAGTCCCATACTGCCAGAGTTTTTTGAGCATTTTGACTGATTTTTCAAGAGCCACAGAATAGTTTGTGCTATGACTATGTAAACACGTAACACACCAAAAGAAAGAGTAGACTCTCTTCTTTCATCAGGAAAAAAAATGTGTTTCTACCTTATTCCTTTCTTCCTGGATTTGCGTCTCACCGGCGACATGTTCTCTCATAGCGAAGCATTACGTTTTTCTTATTTGCCTACAGTCTATGCTCATCTCCCATCAAAAGTTGCACTGCCCCCTAGAGGGTAAATTTGTTACTACATACTCTGTCTACAAGGCGATATTTACGGACAAGCTTTAGCAGATCGTCCCCCAGCCACTCTCGTTGAAAAACATAAAAGACGTCTATAGACGTCTTTGGCAGTCAACGGTTGTATTTGAATTGACGTCCATAGACGTCTTTGGCAGCCAATGAGTTAATGAAGTTTTTTTTTTTTTTTTCTAGGAACATTGTCTCTACAGTTAACCTGGGATGTCCACTGGATCTGAAGTTCATTGCCCTGCAGGCCAGAAATGCCGAGTACAATCCCAAGGTAAAGTATCTAAATGTTACCCTGTCAGCTTGCTTTGTTTTTCTCTTTCATACCTTTTGTTCATGCTGCCTTAGCGCTTTGCAGCGGTCATCATGAGAATCCGGGAACCACGGACAACGGCGCTCATATTCAGCTCGGGGAAGATGGTCTGTACGGGAGCCAAGAGGTCAGTCTGTCGCCTGATTTGAAGGATTATCAGGCTCATAGAAGCAGATCATTGCATACCCAGTGGAAACACCAGTTTGTGTATATATAGATATATATAAATATACATATTTTTTCACATGAAAAATGTCAGATAAACAAATTCAAGAAGCAAAGAGAAAATATAAAGAAAGCAGCACTTCTGTTGGTGCAAAGGCCTCGTTGATGCCAGAGATCAGATGAGAATGACCAGACTGGTCAGAGCTGATAGAAAGGCAACAGTGACCCAAATAAGCACTCGTTACAACCGAGGTGTGCGAAAGAGCATCTCTGAACGCACAACGCGTGGAATCTTGAAGCCGATGGGCTACAGCAGCAGAAGACCACACCAGGTACCACTCATGTTAGCTAAGAACAGGAAACCGAGGGTACAATTCACACAGGCTCCCCAGAATTGGACAATTGAAGATTGCAAAAACGTTGCTTGGTCTGATGAGTCTGGATTTCTGCTGCGACATTCGGATGGTAGGGTCAGAATTTGGCATCAACAACTTGAAAGCATGGACCCATCCTGCCTTGTATCAACGGTTCAGCCTAACGATGGTGGTGTAATGGTGTGGCGGATATTTTCCTGGCACACTTTGGGCCTGTTAGTACCAACTTAGCCCTATGTCAATGCCCCAGCCTACCAGAGGATTGTTGACCATGTCCAATCCTTTATGACCACAGTGTACCCATCTTCTGGGGGTGCTTCTAGCAGGATAACGCTGGATATCGCTATCAGACTGGTTTCTTGACCATGAAAACAACTTCACTGGACACTGTCAATCCAATAGAGAAGCTTTGGGGGGTGGGGGAACGGGAGATTGGCATCATGGATGTGTAGCCGACTGATCTGCAGCAACTGCGTGACGCTATCATGTCAATATCACCAAACTCCAGTACCTCCAGTTTCCAGTACCTTGTTGAATATATGCCATGATGGATTAAGGCGGTTTAAAGGCAAAAAGGGGTCCCACCTGGTACTAGCAAGGTGTACCTGATAAAGTGGCCTGAGTGTGTGTATGTGTGTATATATATATATACATATACAGACCATGGGTGTGCACTTAAACAAACTCTCTTGTTCAAAATATATGCGAGAGGCAGTAATTACATGTTTCTGGGAGTATGCACGCTTCTTGTTTTTTTTTTAATCCTCCGGGAATATTGATGTTGGTGTTGGTTTTATTGTTATTATCTACACTTGGTATCCTCCACCTGTGTTTGAGCGTATAAAGTGAGGAGCAGTCACGACTGGCAGCCCGGAAATACGCACGAGTGGTGCAAAAACTGGGGTTCCCGGCTCGCTTCCTGGACTTCAAGATCCAGAACATGGTGGCCAGCTGTGATGTTTGTTTCCCAATCAGACTGGAGGGTTTGGTCCTGACGCACCAACAGTTCAGCAGGTAAAAGACACAATGTTTTATACTCAAAATCAGACAAACGACACGTGCAGTTTCTGCTTCAGTACGTTTAAACTAGAATGTTGAGCTCCATATAAGAAACTCCAACTCCTCCTTAGTTAGGGTTAGCACAAAAAGGCTTGTGTTTCCTAATTTTTCATACGACACAGGGCAGCATTTCATTAATGTTGACATGTAATTCTCACAGTTTCTCAGATGAATTTTGTGAACGTTGTCCTCTACAGTTATGAACCAGAGTTATTTCCAGGCCTCATCTACCGGATGGTGAAACCTCGCATTGTCCTGCTCATCTTCGTATCTGGGAAGGTGGTTCTGACTGGTAAAGGAAATACAGTTTTATTGAGAGTAATTGTTCTGACAGAACAAGAAAGCTATAGAGGCAGGATTCTTAAAAGGGGGGAGCATGTCTATGTATTTTTATCACGTAGAAATTAATATCCAGCTTAACGCATGAACCTGTTTTATTTAGCCTTTTTTAAGAATTGAATGTGTTCATAATTTAACCCCGCATGTGAAAGGGGACCAAGGAATAAAAAGGTTCTGTAACAAATACAACTATCTTAAGCTAAGAGCTGAACCTCAAGCCAATTAACACAAAGACAGAATCTGGAAAACCAAGAATGCTGACCTAAAATAATCGCCACACAAAAGAGACATTGAAAAGACATTAAGCTCCTGCACCGAAAATTGGTTTAAGCAGATGTAAGCATGAGGAATATTTCAATCAAGCGTGATGGGAACATTATCTAGAACGTAAGATGATATCACACAGAAGAAGACTCAAATAACGGTAAAACCAAATCTGAGTGTAAGGTCTTGTATGTGGCCTTTATAGTATGTAGCTGCTTTTCCAGATTGAGTTTGGTTTTAGGAGTCTGTTGACTATGTGAGATGACAAAACACACTGGTGGGGTTTACATCCCTATCTTAAACTTGGATGTTAATACTGGACAGTGTATCACTGTGTATTGCTGCTATCACTTGTTGAAGCAAAGTTAAACACAATCAAGAAAGAGAGGAAGTGTGTTTCCATTGATGTGGAGGTTTGGTGGGGTCATGTCAAGAGTGTCATTAACGTGTTATTAACATGTTATTAAGGTGTTAACATGTTATTAAGGTGTTATTAACATGTTATTAACATGTTATTACCGTGTTAACATGATATCAACATGTTATTAACGGTGTAGCTGCATTGTAGCATCCTTTTGTCCTTTTAAAAAGTTGTTGTGATTGACTAATCCTGTTGTTGTATTCCAGGAGCTAAAGAACGAGCTGAGATCTATGAGGCCTTTGAGAACATTTATCCCATCCTGAAAGGCTTCAGGAAGCAGTGAGGGCTCCTCATGACCCCCCCCCCCCCTCCTTTTATTTTGGATGTGTATGTTTTTTTTTGCCATGCCAAATGGAGTCATTTAAAAAAAAAAAAAAAAAAGAGTATCAACTTGTTTAGTTTGTTAAATTCCGAAAGATCTATGAAAATGGTCAAAGTTGGCAAGTTCGTGCCTAAATTAGGAGCGTCTGCCGGATGTCGTTTCATAATTTCTTTTTCAAATGTTTGGAGCATGTATTCTGTTTTGAATGACTGTTGGGAAGCACGGACGGTTATAACACTGTGAATGAGGCGGCAGAGGGACGACATTGCTGTAAAATGTGACGTCACAGAGCTGAAAATGAATAAATATATAACGACATGTTCGGCCAGGTCTATTTTCTGTGACATGGGAAGGTGTCAAAGCTAGCCTAATTTCTAGAATACCAATTCGGGAGCTCAAGCGAGCTTCGGACCCAGAAGCCGACGTACTGGGCGGAAGTGACGTCACACTGAAACACACGAAGCCCCACCCCCCTCCCGTGGTAAACCGGAAGTTTTGGACTAATCTCGATCAAAACAAATACGTCTGTCACATCTGGTCCGGCCGAAGTCGATAGCATGTCCTCGGTGTCATGCGGAGCGTCGCCGGGGCCCTAGGGCCTGTCTCTACTCCGTCTCTGGTCCGCCCGCCCGGCGGGGACGTTTTTAACCGTTTAGCTTAGCTCCGTGCCCATGGCGTCCCAGGCGGAGCTGCCTCCTCACGGCCCCGACCGAGCGGCTTCTCACTCGGGAGGCAAGCCGCCTCTCCCCCGGCCGCACCCCGCCTCGGCCCAGGGCTCAGTGCCGGCCCAGGGCTGCGCAATGGCGGAGTCGGTGGACGACGCGGAGGGGCTGTACGTGGCGGTGGAGCGGTGCCCGCTGTGCAGCACGTCCCGCCGCAGACTCACCTGCGCCCGCTGCGTCCGGGCCGGAGACTTCGTCTACTTCGACGGGAGGAACACCGAGAGGTAAAAAAAAAACGACGAAATATGAAATTGTAACACTGTAAAACCGCGGTTTGTGAATGGCGACCGCTTTGTCGTTGTTATTGGAGGTGGAAAACAACTTTAAAATGAGAGTTTTCCCACTTTAATATGTGGACTAGCTGTCGCGGCTAGCTGTTGTCGGTTAGCAGCTAAGGTGGCTAACGTTAGCTAACTAACTAGCCCTGCTACAGACATGTGAGCACCCCAAAATAACCCGGTTCTGCGCGTGAGGGGGGCCGGTTCCCCACAGCTTCCAAAGGTCCAGGAGACCCGGCAGCTTGAAAAGCGCTGGTCAGTTTGTCTGTGGGACTGAATCTGTGCTCCTGGTGGTCTGCAGGTACTCTGAGAAGAGGGGCCAGCTGAGGAGGCTGACCGATGAGAAGGAGAAGCTGCAGCAGAGGTAACCGGTGACCGGCCCTTAGTTTGGACTGCTGGCCCGACCACACGTTTGAGTCAGCCACAACCGCACATTTTCATCTAACCAGGAGTAAACGGAATAAAATGTTGTCTCTTCTCTCCCCAGAGTTATCCAGGCCATGGACAGCAGGCTGCAGGCCGATAAGATCGTGAGTTGGTGTGAGAAATGTGTCCTCCTCAGATATTCCGATTCAGAAGACTGTCGATTGTTGTGTCGATATCAGTAAATAGTCCTGCTTGGAGAGATGAGTCTCTGTGTTCAGATCAGATAGTAAAAACTGACGAGCCTCTTTCTTTTTCCCTCTCAGAAATGGAAGATCATGCTGTGTAAGATAAAGATCGAACAGCTGAGGGAAGCCGTCTCCTGGGGCAACGAGGAGGTAAAGACCGGTGAGTCCGTCTCACGGAAGTGCACGTCCTCTGATCCAGATGGCCGGTAATGTCGTTTTTTTTTCCACGAACACCTTCTCTACTAGGCTCCGCTCTACGTCTTTATTTGCATCTCCATTGGGAGCTCCATTTTCCCAATATATTTTATTGAATTTTCTCTTTTAGGACATTTACAAACAAACTTAACATTGTAAACACGTATTTATACACACTTGCATTCACTCACGCATTCACCCTTCAAACCTGCATTTGTTATAATATATATAAAAAACACTTTAGAATATGACAGAAAAAAACAAGATAATATGAATATGAAAATAAAAACTGTAGTCAAGATAATTTAGTTTTAGTCTGTGATTGTTAAAATTCCACTGGGTATATTCCTAGAACACAGATTCTAACCTCTAATGGAACTTTAACCTTAAACAATTCAGATAAACATCTAATAA